CGAGGCGAAGTTCGCAGCCCAGAGGGCGGCCGCGGAGGCCAAGTCCAAGGGCAAGGGCAGCACCACGGGCGCCACGGGCGGCCCAGCAGCAGGGACGAAGCCCACCACGAAGCCAGCCGCAGCGACACCGCCTGCGGGAGCTTCAAGTGGCGCAGCGAGCTCTTGACTAGGGGCTGCGGCAGAGCAGCCCGAGGAGGCGCCCAGCTACCAAGCCACGGGCGCCTCGACGCAGGAGGCTGACACCGTCAAGACCTCCACCTTCATGTACAGCAACATCACGTGTATGGGGGACAAGGCGTAGGATTTCATCCTCACCCAGACCTCATACGATTTCTTCGGCCTGGCTGAGACGCATATTGGACCAGCTGATGTGGGCAGGTGGTCTGGGAAAGCTCGGGGCCACAATCTTCGCTTATTTCATAACGCTGCTCGCCCATCTTCCAAGGCGGCCAGTCCCGAGGTACGACATGATTCCCCAGGTGAATCGCAGTCAGGAGGACACGCCAACGAAGGAGGTGAGTGGATCTTAGCTAGGGGGCACTTGCAAGCCCACATTTGCCATGAAGCAATTCAATCATCTGCGCTCAAGGCCAAACCCAGCGGCAGTCTTGACGGTTTTGTTCCATGCGTTCTGCATTTTAAAGGCTATACACTAGTCGTTGTCGTTTTCTATGGGACCTGCAGCGTAGGCCTCTCGGGCACCAACCTCGTGAGGTACAGGAGACTTGGGAGTTTCCTCAGGGCCCTGCAGCTTCCGTGGGTTGTCATAGGCGACTGGAACATCCCACCGCACACCCTTCAGGCCTCAGGATTCCTCGGAGAAGTCGGAGGCATAATTAAGTGTGCAGACGTCGAATATACTTGCGACCCAGGCGGGGGCAGGAAAGCCTCCCACCTGGACTATCTCGTTCACAGCCTCTCCGCTCAGTCCTACATACAGCAGGTGACCCCAGTGCATGATGTCCCGTGGCGGCCACACATTGCACTCGTCATCCATTTTGCTTCTTCGGGAGAACAGCTTCTCACCCGCATCATGGATTTGCCCCGTCGTTTACCAAACACGGTTCGGCCCTCGAAAGCCCCCACCCCTGGGTCCAAGTCCAGTCTGGCCAAGGCCCAACGGGCTGAGAAGGGCGCCAAGGGACAAGAGCTTCGGGACCGCACTTTTCACGCTGTTTTCGGAGATTTAATGGGCGAGGCCGACGACGCCGAGTCCACGCATGCAGGGGACTCGTCTGGCGAGGACGAGGACCCAACTTTCCCTGGTTACGCTTCAGAGGCCGAGGAAGAGGACCCCTGGGCAAGCGAGACCGCGTTCAGGCCAGCTGCCAACGTTGCAGCCGCTCTCCCGTCGCCCGCGGAGGTGCCAGCAGTCACTCCCACGTGCGAGGAGAAAACAGAGCCCCACGGACCTCCTAGCAGCCCATCCAGCGCCTCTAATTCGGCCCAGCGTGAGAACCCCCCCGAACCTGCTAGAACCCAGGGGATGGAGTCCACACGTGCCAGCCAGATGTCAGACTTGCAGCAGTCAGCGGAGGGGACCTCCGACCCAGCCAGACAGCAGCCGCCCTACGATATCCCGAGTTCCCTCTGGAACGAGCATCGTGTGCAAACGGGGATGCTTAACCCCTCTTGCTGCTGCCCTGCTGCTGCCGTGGCGCACTCCGTAGCCTTTTCGCTCAAACCTGATGCCGCACTCACCCTCGGTCAGCTCTACGGATCGTGGGTCACCACGGTCGAGGCTACCATCCACAGCCACCATCAGCAGGACCACCTCGGCCGCTCCTGATCTCAGGGGCCCGAGTTTCATGTCGTGACGGTGCGGGAGGCCCAGTCGAGACGGGCTACCGCACTCAGGGATTCGGGCAGCTCATGGTGGACCAGACTGCACACCACGCTGCAGCACATCTACCGTCACCGCGCACGTGGCAACGGCCTGCGTCAGCTACAGCAGCTTCATGAAGCAGTGGACCGTCTGTCACAAGAAGCCCCCGCAGGGGCAGCAGGCATCATCAAACCCAAGGACGATTTCCCGTGGCCGAAGTGGCAGGACATGCTCAGCCACATCCACACCCTCCCCGTCGAGGAGGTCGTCGACTACGCAGCAGCAGCTGGTTTCCTTGCCCGACGCGCCCAACGACGAGCAGTTGGCAAGTCTCTTTTCGCACTCCGCGAGTGGGCAACCACCGCCCCAGCCTTGAGCACACTACATCGATCGCTCAAGCCACAGCCACAACCAGCTGAGTCGACAAAGGTGGGCAGCCAGACCCTAGTGCACCCCATGGACTTGCTTGACCACAAGGTCACCTGCTGGCACCAGCTATGGGCACCAACAGGACAGGCACTAGGAGGGCTCCCCGACCTTTACCAGCACATCGTCGACAAGATTCAAGTTCAGAGTCTCCCACCACTCTCGGGAGAGGACGTACGCCATGCCCTACGACGACAGCGAGCACGCACAGGGTTAGGAGCAGATCGCCTCAGCCCTCTGGACCTCCTACGCCTCCCACAGGAGGCACTGGAGGAACTCGCCAGTCTTTTCAACATCATGGAGCAGCTACAGATGTGGCCGCACCAACTCCTCATGACCATAGGAGTCATGAGGGCCAAGAAGGACAATGGAGACCGCATCGTTGGATTACTACCCGAAATCGCCCGTTGCTGGCCCATGTGCCGTGAGGACGCAGTTCGTTCATGGAACCGCGAATGCCACGCACACTGGGACGCAGCGATCAGGGGGAACTCAGCTCTGCGGGAGGCCTACGAACGGGCCCTACAGGAGGAGCTCAGCGCCTATGCAGGGGCACCCCAGGGCCATGGGCTACTGGACATTTCACAATTCTACGATTCTATCAGCTGGTGCGACCTCGGGGAGCAGGCCCTCGAGTTGGACTTCCCAGCGGAGGTCCTGGGCCTCGAACTTCTCCAATGCATCGCGCCCAGAGTTCTCACCCAGAGCGGCAGTTACACTTTACCCTTCCAACCAACTCGATCAGTGGTCCAAGGACTTAGATCTGGCACCCGATTCGCTAAGGTCATCACCTACAAGGCGATTCGGAGAGTGACTCAGGTCCACGCCAGATGCTCCCACCGCATCTGGGTCGACGACCTATCTCAGCGCATGCAGGGGTCTCGAGAGGCTATCAGACGGGACCTCTTCAAATGCTTGCTGGACACTTGCCGCGCACTCCAAGATCGCGGACTCAGCATCGCCAAGAAGAGTGTGATCCTCTGCTCCAGCATGGACGACTCGAGGCACATCGCGCGCCGTCTGGCTCGCCAAGGCTTCAAGGTGGTGCCCAAGGCCCAAGCGGCCTACCTCGGCACCGACCTGGGGGCAGGCGTACGGGCAGCCCGCAGTGCCAGGACGCAGCGCCACGTCAAGCACGGCCTGCAGCACAAGAAGATCCGACGCCTCGCCCGCGCCTCCCGACGGTACCACGTCACGGGGAGACTGGCTCTCCAGGGGGCACAGGCTGGAGGCAGCGATGCACATCAAATCCACTGAGTTTTCGGCACACAGCTGACACTCTTCAGGAGGAGGCTTGGAGACTCTTTGGGCCCTCGCCTTCAGGGGCGATGCCTCACAACGCTGCTGGACCTCAAGGCAGGCCCCTCCGACCCAGCACGCAAGTTTCCTCGCGAGACCATCCAGCAGCGGCTCACGACATGGATCCAGGCGGGGCCTATGGAGAGGGCCATCCGCCACACCTGGGATACAGTACTCAAGCATTTTCAATCTTTACCCGTCGGACAGCGGGCTCGCCACATCAAGGGGCCGCAGTCCACCGTCATCATGTACCTCCTGGAGCTCGGCTGGACGCCGAAGGGACCGCAGGAGTGGATCCTCCCGCCGACCATAGTCGACAGCCGAGGACAAGACACCTGGGAGTTCGATCGTCAGCAGCTCACAGGTAACCCTCACGTGGACATCCCAGACACACTGCTCCAGGACATCGACCGCAGCGCACAGGCCAAGCTCTGGGCCAGTGCGAGCCAGCACTACGGTGGGTCTGGGATGGAGAGAGGGATCGACAACCGATCATATCGCAAGCTACTCCAGTACCTCAGCAAGATGAAGCACGGACGGCGACTCTCAACCATGATGCTCACCATAGCAGCGGGCGCTACGTGGCCGAAGGCCAGAGTGCTGGAGCAGACCAGCGCCATCACCGACGGCAAGTGCCCGCGCTGCTAGGCCGCCAAGGAGACACCGTTCCATCGCACATGGGAATGCGTTGCCAACCAGAAGTGCCCCGTGTACGACTCCACGGATCACATGATTGCGCAAGCCTCAGCACAGCAGGACATGTACGAGTGCTACTGGACAAGGGGCCTGTTGCCTCAAGCGTGGACACAGGTCCCACCACCAGCCAGCACATACGACTGGACCGCTCATGGCATCGAGAAGTTCTCACCGCAGTGCTTCGAGACCAATCGCACCAGCTCAGTCATGTACATTTTCGGGGATGCCAGCGGAGGAGGTGACACAGCCTCCCCAGTCCTCAGGCGCGTGGGCATAGGCATCGCAGCTTTCCCCAGCCTCAGGATCAACGATATGCAACTGCAGACGGCGATGTGGGGGCCTCTCCCAGGGGACAGGCAGACAGTCGTCCGAGGCGAGCTGCTCGCCCTTCTCCTCGCCATGCAGGTTTCGGAGTTAGACGTCGTTTTCATCACTGATTGCGAGGGTGTCTACCTCAACTATTATAATGGACATCCGAGCTCGCCAGTCGGACCTGATGCAGACCTGTGGCACCAGGTGGGCGTCGAGCGAGCCAGGAGATCAGGCGATTTCGTGGTTCTTTTCACCAACTCTCATGCCACGGGCGAGGACGTCGCCCTTGGCCGTGCCAATGCGTCCTTTGCATATGGCAACACTGTCGCCGACGAGTTTGCAGCAGTTGCAGCGGACAGCCACCGTGTGGAAAAGCACCTTCGACAGCAGATTCAGGGTATCGAGAATGACGCCTACCTCGTCCGCATGAGGCTCCTGAGAT